GCAGCCTCCTGGAACAGGTCAAAGTTATCCTTCACACCATCCTTTCGGAGTAGATTCTCGGCAAGGTGCCGAGTACACCAACGATGGTGCAAAGGTGCATACCCCTCTACCTGCTCTCGCACGGCATTAAGTATGCCCTGGTGCCTATCAGATATGATGCCAACCTCCCTGCCAGGCCCAACAACATGTATCCGGACTAGCCTCAAGAACCATCCCCAACTGTCATTGTTCTCCTTCTTAACCAAAGCAAATGCCAAAGGAACCAACTTGTTGTTCGCGTCACAGGATATGGCTATAAGAAGTGTGCCCTAGTATTTGTCAATCAAGAACGTACCATCAATGGAGAAGACAGGACGACAGTGCCTAAAGGCCTCGACACACTGAGGGAAGCACCAGAAAGCACGGAAGAATATCTGCCTACCATCCTTCTATGCATTTGGTTTTGGGATGTACTCATAATGCATGCCTAGATTAACCACTTTGATTGCATTGAAAAGTACTGACAGCTGCTCATACCCATGCTCCCTGTCCCCATATATCATCTTCCACGCTCGCTGCTTAGCCCTCCAAGCTTTACCATAAGTTATTACATAACCTCCATACAACTCCTCAACGGTTCTAATAATTGTCCTAACCTTCATGTTGGGTTCTCCCTATAATATTCCCATCAACCGCTTAGCGATGAAGGTAGATGTCAACTATCGATGCTTTAGTGTCAGCACATGGTCAGCACAATTGTATGGCCCACAACTTTTGTGATCTTCCATTTTTTGGTGACCTTTTGCTTCCTTGCACAAACCCTCCATGGACATCGTTCCTTCTCACACACAATAGTGTAACGGTGCTCCGCATATGAATGCAAGACCTTGTAAGGTCTCTTTTGTATCACTGCAAACGCCTGCAACCACCTCTTCAATGCAGGGAGGTCATTGAATACCCTGCCTTCCTCAATTACCATGTTAGGGCTGGCCTCATGAGCTTCTAGGAGCTCATCATCACGTCCTTCTGCACACACCTGATCGGAAAGAGTAAGACCGCTGAACTCGTGAACTCTTGGATCACGGCGGTCGGGAAAGATACACCTCATCATCTCAACATCACTCTCTGTCAGCTCTCCAACCGGCCGATCATCATCAGAATCAAGAGCCCTCGCCATCTCATATGGCTTCGAATCATTAATAATTTCAACACTATTGGAGCCATGGAATCCATCTCCACAGTGTACTTGCGCAGCAACAGAAAGCACATACACATTGTTAGGAATATCTCCTGCAACATAAGTAAAGAAAATGAGAAAAGAATGACATGGTGGATAAGACAAGGCGGATATGACACTTACTCGGATGATTCAGTGTCAAAGGGATCTCATGAGGAGGATCTGCCACAACATCATGAGTCTGAAAAGCATCTCCAACTGCCTCGTGGGGGGTAGATTGAGCATCTGGAAACCGTAGGTGCAACCTCCACATCCGCATCAGGTTCCGGGACGGGAGGGTCGAAGTGTGCTTGCTGACCCATTGGCGGAAAAAACCCATGAGGGATGGGATCGACTAACACCCGACGCACAACCACGTCCAAACTTTGAAACTGGCTCTTCATAGCCGATCTCATATATCTCTCCCACTGATGCACACCAAATTGGGATCACCTTCCTTAGCATGTTGGGAGGGTAACCTAGGTGAAGTACACCCTCAACTTCGATGCCATCGTCATCATCTCCAAGGCAATGTAGCTCCTCCCGAGTCCTTGAAACCAACTCACTAAATGAAGGCTTCTCATTGAATAACACAGGCACGTTATGCATCTCAACAAACTTAACATATCCATAGCGATCTCTTTCCACGGTGCCTCCATGATATATGGTCACTAGGTTGTCCATCTATTACTTCATACAAAAATCCAAACATAGTCCATTTAGTCCAAAGTAGCGGCTATATATATAGTACCTCTCTAATAATACATACCAACAAACTACACCGTAAATCCTAAATAACTGTCACGGGCTATCTAACTATAATTATCTAACTATATTTATCTCACTAACTAAATCAACTAACTAGCTAATAACTATATCTATGTACACTAGCTATCTAACTATATCTATCTTACTAACTAAATCAAATTTATACCTACATTGCATATTACAAAATCTTACCTATCCGTGTGTGACGTGAAGGACAGGATCGACAAAAGCGCTGGGCTTGGCGCTAAGGGCGTGAGGAAGATGGGCAAGCAAAAGGCATGGGCCTGAAGGCTTGGCTTGTATGCTTGGCCTTGGCCTTGTGAGGCGTGAAGCGGTCGCGTGGCATGCGTGTGGCGGTCATCGACGGGGAGAGAGAGAAGAGAGGGAGAGAGAGGAAAAGAGAGAGAGGACGACGACTTAGATATTCCAGGCTTGGCGCCAAGCATGGCGCCATGGATCTTAGCGCCAAGACCCCTGCCACATCATCAAATGTTGTCCACATGTACAATGGGCTTCACGCCAAAAGTTCTGGCGCCTTACCGTGTTATCTTGGCGCCAACGATGCTGGCGCCAAGCTAAGGGCCCAGATTTTGAAATCATACCTCCAGGGGCATATTTGTGTGAAACTTTCAAAATAAGGGCTGAAAAGTGAAAAAGTTGGGTATATTTCTAACTTCTCCTAAGGCCACGTTCGTTTGAAGGGGTGGTTGTTTGAAAATATTTCAGGCTGGATTCATTATAAAATTTCAATAAGCTTCGGTCAACAGGAATCATTACCGGTCTGGATTCGGCTGAACCGAATGAGCCATAAGGCGTGTTTAGATAAAGCCCTCCCAGACAGCTCCATCTCAAGACAGAGATCACGACCCTAGCCGTCCAAAATCGATCACCAGGAAAACCAAACATGCCTTAAATTACTTTTGTCCCATCTATTAGTTAGTTCGGTTTGGTTTTACTTGTTGTGATGTGACTATAATAACTTTGAACATCTCTTTTTTCACATAAAACTTTTAGGTACTTGGATTTTTCAAATTTCGTGATTTCATTTTTTCAAGAAAAAGTCCGTGATTCATATAATACACATTTTTGGTAATGTATGTATTGTTTTAACAACTATACCATCATAAATATTTCATTAAGTGGATATATCTTTTTTTTGTGTATGTGGAAATTTAATAAAACGAAAGGGGATGTTTGGGACTGCTCCACTTCGTACTTTTTAGCCCTGCTTCACGTTTTTTAGCCAAATAGTTCAGCTCTACGCTATCTTCTCAAGAAAAAAAAGTAGAGTTGTGAGAGCACATAAATAGGTTATAGAGCTTTCTACGATGGAGTTTGTGGAGTAGAGTTTGGGGAGCAATTCCAAATACGCCCTAAGTAACATTTTTACAAGAGAGTGAAATAACCCACCCTCGGAGCAAAGAAACTTTGAAACTTCCTAGACCTAATCTCATGAAGAGGATATATCTACGATCTTGTTTAAAAGAAAACAGATATCCAAATGCTACTGTGAATCCACAAGATGAAAGGTGCTACTTGAATACTAATTTTAATACGCTGTTAAAAAGAGTCGCTTTTTAAAGACAAATCACTTTCTTCTTTTAAGAAAACAGAAATGAATTATATTACGTTTTTTGAGCAACAGGAATTATATGTCGTTTTATAATATGATATGCTTTAGTACAAAGTTTTTGTTGTAGCTTTAAATCTATGTTTTTTTGTAATTAATTAAAATAATTTATAGCTGTAGTTTCTGTGGTCCAATTGTGATGAAATTTTTATGGTGAGATAATTATTGTATGATTGAATAGTAGTAAAAATTTCATACTCATTGGATCATGTATAACTTAGTTATAGATTTATTTATATTTAACAAGCATAAATCTAAATAAAATCTATAACTAAGTTATACATGATCCAATGAGTATGAAATTTTTACTATAGTTTAAGCATAAAATAATTAGCACACCATAAAAATTTCACCACGAATGGACCATAGAAACTGCAGCTATGAATTAATTATAGAAAAACATAGATCTAAAACTACAACAAAAAATTTGTATTAAAACATACCATATTATATATTTACTATGTAGATCTACTCATGTGGAGTCTAACAAAATTGGACTTTCCATTTTATGATTTTTCTATGATTTACTATGATTTTTTAAAGGTTGAACCGAAATAAATAAAAAAGAAAAAAGACAAAACCGTCTTCAAAAACCGCTTATAACCGGGGTAGGGAGTTAAGATGAATGGTTTTATAAGTTGAGAGAGGTGTTTTACCCAGTTTTAAAGTTTAGAGAGAAAAAACGGACTTTCGAGAAAGTTGAGGGAGGTAACATGGACTTTTTCTTAAAATAAAAGAATTTAGGACTGGGACTGGGCTGGAGCGGCCCACAAGGAGCCTTGTACGAGAGGCCCAAAGCCGATAAGCTTACGCCGTGTTTGGTTCTCCGGACTAAAATTTAGTCCTATCACATCGAATGTTTGGACACATGTATGAAGTATTAAATATAGACTATTTACGAAACAAAAAATATAGATTGAGACTAATTTGCGAGACAATTTTTTAAGCCTAATTAGTCCATGATTACACACTAATTGCTACAGTAAAAAAACTAATGACGGATTAATTAGGCTTAATAAATTTGTCTCGCGGATTACTCACGAAATCTATAATTTAATTTTTTATTAGTCCGAACACCCTATAGTCCACACACATGTAACATCCGACGTGACCTAACTAACTTTTCGTGAACCAAACACGCCCTTACAGCCTGTTCGGCAGACCGTAAATGATCGTGGATTATTTACCGCTGACTGATTTGGTGTGAGAGAAAAATAGCCGTTCTGACCGCGCCGGAATGGAAACGGGCCTCTTCTCAGCACGCCCTTAGGGTCTGTTCGGTTACGACGTTCCGGTCCTTCCTGACTGGGAATGGTTCCGGACATGTAGAAAATAACGAAGAAACAGCGAGGCCAGAATCGATTCCGTATAACCGAACGAGGCCTTAGCCGTTCTGACCGCGCCGGAATGGAACCGGGCCTCTTCTCAGCAGCCTACAGGCCAGTTCTGTGCTGCCCATTTTCGTCTGGGTCTCTCTCAGCTCTCAGCTCCAGCTTCTCCGTGGCGCAAGCGCGGCGATATCCGATCCTGACTGCAGCTCTGCAACAGCGAAGCGCCCGCCCGCCCGCGCCCCTGCCCATGCCCTCGCCACCGCTGCCGTCTCCCTCCACCCTTTCCTCTCCCGGCCCGCCTCCGTGCTCCGCGTAGGCCGCCGCCTCCCACCCCTCCTCCTCCGCGCCACCTCGTTCACCTCCGCCTCCCGGGATTTCAACATCACCTTCGCGGAGCCCGCCCCGTCCAAAAAGGCCCCGTCCGCGCAGCCGCTGGTCCCGTGGATCGTCCGCGGGGAGAACGGCAAGCCCCGCCTCAGCACCTCCCCGCCGCCGGACGTGCTCCAGGCCATCGCTCTCGCGGAGGCGGAGGCCAACAAGGCCGCCAAGAAGGAAACCCTCAAGGGCCAAAAAGGCGCGGTTGCCGCCGCCGCAGCTGCGGCTACTTCCAATGCCAGCGTCAAGGCCCGGAAGGCCGCCCCGACCGCGCCGCCCAAGTTCTCCAAGGCGGCCAGAAGGTTTTACAATGAGAATATCAAGGAGCGGGAGCCGCAGCGGCTCGCCAAGGTCCTTGCCGCCGCAGGAGGTAGTCCTTGTCCTACTCTATTTCTGACCTCAAGCCTCGAATCAAGTAGTAATAGCTTAACGTTCCTTATCCTAGATCAGATTAGTTAAGACAGATGCTTTTGGTTTTTGATTCTAGTGGTATAACAGCTGTTGTTAGTTTGTGGAGATAACCATGCTTGTATGATACTATGAATATCTCCTGGATTGTACTAGCACCTAGCATTTTTGGCCAAATGAACTACACTAAAAAACCCAGGTTGTTCTCCTTTGGAATCAGACAGCTCTCCCAAAATTGGCGGCTTCTATTGCATACTTGGCTTGTTTGCTCCTGATACCTTTAGGAGTTTGGGTTGCTATTTCCACTTGTCATTTGTAATATTGTGGAGATTGGATTTTATTTAGTTCCTTCCAAGTAACTCTAGAAATATAACACTTCACTCTTCAAAACTTTTGGTTTTGATTACCAGTATCTGTTAAGATGCTTACTAGACAACTATTCCCAGTGGCATCAAGAAGGACCAGTGAGGAGTTCATCTTCCAAGGGAAGGTGACTGTCAATGGTTCAGTCTGTACTTCTCCTCAGGTATGAATTCTCAGAGTTTTTGTCTTCCATGAAGATACTTGTTTTGGTACCATAATATTTTACTTTCATAGTAATGTTGTTGCCACATCCAAATTTGCTCTCTGTTGGTCTTAAGAGCAACAATTGTTTGGTCCAAGAACACTTGAACCGTTTTATACGATTTGATTTTTTACCGAACTTTTTCCATTGCATTATACTATGAACAAAACTTCATTTCTGTGGTTAAATCAAAGGATAAAATAATTCATTTTGTGCAGACCAAAGTTGACATCTCAAAGGATTCTATCTACGTCAATGGGAATCGCATTTCCAAGAAGCTGCCTCCGAAGCTGTATTTTGCTGTTAACAAGCCAAAGGGGTTGGTCTTGCTTTCCATACTTGACTTATGTGCTGCATCATCAGTGGTGTAGGTGTGTAGCCAAGGCCTGGGCTTCATGTGTTTCAGCCCTGGTTCTTGGTCTACAAGTCCATGGAAGCTCACTTAACTGTATATAGAAATATCATAGTTCATAGTCATAAGGGACTTTAGGCATATTTGAACTGGCTCAGCCTGGGACTCAGGTTATTTCTGACACCATACCTGTGCATTAATCATGATGCCATGATTATCTTGTATTCCAGTGAAATATTTTTGAATCACAGAAAAGGAATCATCAATCTAATAAATTTTGTTTCTGTGCTACAGGTACATTTGCTCATGTGGCGAAGACTCAAAGTCTGTTGTCTCCTTATTTAATGATTATTTGAAGGGCTGGGTATGTTCCATATCAGGGCCTCACATAACATTCATATTATAATGATGTTAATGGAATTCACAAGAATTGATGAATTGCTGAACCTTTTCTGACTATGAATCTGTATTGGGTAAATCTCTATGCATATTTACAGAACAAGATTCAACCAGGGCAGCAAAAACCACGCTTGTTTACTGTGGGTCGTCTTGATGTTGCCACGTCTGGATAATAGTCACAAATGATGGTAAGTTTATCATACTTGGTAATATGTACTCCCTCCGTTCAAACTGTAAGTCATTTTGGCTTTTCTAGATACATAACTTTTGCTACGTACCTTGAACATAGTAAAAGCTACTCCCTCCATTCCAACTTATATGTCGTTTTTTTATGATCTAAAAAAAAACTTATATGTCGTTTTGATTTTCCTAGATACATAACTTTTATTACGTATCTAGACATATCGTATATCTAGGTGCATAACAAAACCTATGTACCTAGAAAAACCAAAACGACCTATAATTTGGGACAGAGGGTGGTATGTATCTAGAAAAGCTAGAAGAACTTACAATTTGGAACGGAGGGAATACTTTGGAAAAAGGCAGTTTTTTGTCACCCAAGACTTAAGCTTGATTTTTGTCCTCTCTTTTAGGTGAGTTTGCTCAAAAACTTGCACATCCTTCTTCAAATGTAACAAAAGAGTAAGTTTACTGTCTTTGGCAGGTTATCTGTTATCCGAATACTGTAATGCAAAAGTAACATGTCGCTGGAACAGTAACAACAACAACAACAACAACAAAGCCTTTTAGTCCCAAGCAAGTTGGGGTAGGCTAGAGTTGAAACCCAACATGAGCCCCTGGTCACGATTCAGGCACGTTAATAGCTGCTTTCCAAGCATTCCTATCCAAACAGAGATCTCTACGTCTATCCCATCCTTTTAGATCTCTTTTTATTGCCTCCTCCCATGTCAATTTCGGTCTTCCACTACCTCTCCTCACGTTGGTATCTCGACTTAGGACTCCACAATGCACTGGTGCATCTGAAGGTCTCTTTGGACATGGTCAAACCACCTCAACCGATGTTGGACAAGCTTTTTTCGATTGATGCTACCCCTAGGCGATCACGTATATCATCATTCCGAACTCGGTCCATCCTTGTGTGACCGCAAATCCAGCGTAACATACGCATTTCCGCGACACTCAGTTGTTGGACATGTCGTCTTTTTGTAGGCCAATATTCTGCTCCATACAACATAGCGGGTCTAATCGCCGTTCTATAAAACTTGCCTTTAAGCTTTTGTGGTACCCTCTTGTCACAGAGAAAGCCAGATGCTTGGCGCCACTTCATCCACCCTGCTTTGATCCTATGGCAAACGTCTGCATCAATATCTCCATCCTTTTGTAGCATCGATCCTAGATAGCGGAAGGTATCATTCTTAGGCACCACTTGACATTCCAACCGCACCTCTCCCTCCTCATGTGCAGTGTTGCTAAAGTCGCATCTCATGTATTCTGTTTTAGTTCGACTTACTCTAAAACCTTTGGACTCTAGGGTCTGCCGGGGTCTGCCGCCACAGCGCTAGTTTTCTATTTACTCCTGCCTGGCTTTCATCAACTAGCACTACATCGTCTGCAAAAAGCATACACCAAGGGATATCCCCTTGGATGTCCCTCGTCACTTCATTCATTACCAAGGCAAAGAGATACGGGCTCAAGATTGACCCTTGATGAAGTCCTATTTTAATCGGGAAGTAATCTGTGTTACCATCATTTGTTCGGACACTAGTCACGGCATTGTCGTACATGTCCTTAATGAGGGTAACATACTTCGTTGGGACTTTATGTTTGTCCAACGCCCACCACATAACATTCCTTGGTATCTTGTCATAAGTCTTCTCCAAGTCAATGAAAACCATGTGTAGGTCCTTCTTCTGTTCCCTGAACCTCTCCGTAACTTGTCTTATTAGGAAAATTGCTTCTATGGTTGACCTTCCGGGCATGAAACCGAATTGGTTCGTAGATACCCGCGTCGTTCGTCGCAGTCGATGCTCTATAACTCTCTCCCACAGCTTCATCGTGTGGCTCATCAACTTAATTCCCCTATAATTAGTGCAACTTTCGATGTCTCCCTTGTTCTTGTAGATTGGTACCAATATGCTTCTTCTCCACTCCTCTGGCATCTTGTTCGATCGATAGATATTGTTGAACATCTTCGATAGCCATACTATACCTAAATCCTCGAGACACCTCCACACCTTGATCGGAATACCATCAGGTCCAATCATTGGATGCCCAAAAATTGATGGGGTCATGTGCATTCCTGATTTAGTAGAACCATTGGATGCCCAATCAGATACAAGAAAGACCCGCCTAAGGATAGTGGTATTTTTTTTGTAGCTTCATTTATTCTGTCCTGTTCCTCTTTGCTTTTGGATTCACCTATTCACTTGAGCAATGTGGCTGTTATTTGCCCTCAGGACTATTAAAAAATAGGTGATTTTGCTTGTCCTCTTACTCTTTATCGGTTGTTGTATATCCACTATAGCCACATGAAAGTTCTTTTGAATAGTATCCTCTGGGAATGGTTGTGTATTAGTTGGTACTTTATAGCCTTCCAAAGTGCTTGGCAAACATTTGAAGTCCATCACAACGTGTGGCAAGCAACTAATTCCATGGATAATTTGTTTGGAATTAACATAAATTCCAATGTGTTTCAGTTACTTTCTGCAATATTTGAAACTATCCTAACTTGCATAAATAGAACATGCTGCTGTTGATTGCCTGTGATGAACCTTTTCTTGCATTATTATATTTCAAAGCCTAGTGGAATAGGTATATTGCCATATCGGTGCAATGTAAAAAAGGGTGCAATAGCTATATTTTGTTATATTACAGCATTTATTTCACTTCTTCACTGTCACAGTATTTCCATAGATGAGGAAGTGTAATTACATTTCACATGCTTGTTGGTTGAGGAATCAAGCATGTAGTTATTGCAATTTCCCCTCTACCCTTCGTCCCTACTCTAATGCCTTGTTATAGTCCCATTTTTGTTGGACATACTAGTAACATTCTAACATGTCAAGTTGTTCTTTAGTTGCTGCAAATAGACTTGACTGAAGAAATGTTCTAAACATGCTAAGCATCGCGTGTTATTTTCTATTGCTCGTTGATATTGTTGACTTCTTGCAGGTTCATGAAGGACGAAATCATGAAGTCCGTGAACTTGTACAGAATGCAGGGCAACAGGTTTGTTTGTTTTTGTCCACCTGTTCTTATGTAGTTTATTGTCCATTCCTAGATGACATTTTATTTTGCAGAATAAGTTGGTTACTATATTTATTTAGATCTTGATTTGAGATGGCAGCATAATGTTGCTTTTGCCTTCTGTTTTCCACTTTACTGTTAGAATGGGAACCGGAGATACCTGATGACCACATTGCCTCCATCGCACACATATTTGTAACACATGATGGCCTGATGGTGATGTGTGCCACACACTGCTATTCACTGATCTATACTCCCTCCATACCCGAAATTCTTGACGTTTAGGACATAATTGTGCTTACTAAGGAGTGATAATTAGGGGGTATTTTTCCCTGTCTGCCCCTATTAAATATGGTTGCGCGTGCATCTCATACGAGAAAGTTACCCATCTCAGATGGCTAGTGCACTGAGGCGTGAGAGTGGCGAGCTGGGGTCGATTCCTGGCGGCCACAATGTTTTTGATGGGGGCTTCATTTGCATGGGATTTTTTGCATGGCACTGTTGGGCCCTGCGTGGTGCGTTTTTGAGGTCAGTTTTTGCAAAGGATTGGTCGTGGCGCGCGCGCTGAGCCGTAGAAGTCGTTGGGCGCGTTTGTTTTCTCATTTGGGCGCGTTTGAGCGCGTTCCTTGGTGCTACGGCCGTGTTGCACCGCAATTTTTTTGTTGTTTGCGTTGGCGCCACGGGATTCTAATTTTAGCGCTCGCCAGCTCCGTCGTTTGAGTTCCACGGTGCGTAATAAAACTTAGTCTTTCCCCCGGCCTTGCTTGCTTGCTTGCTTAAACGCCTCATCTCCTCACTTCGTTGCTTGCTTGCCGTGCTAGCTTGCTTCCTCACATGGCTTAGCTTTTTTCCTTCCACATCTACGGCGCAATGGCTGAGTCTTGCTTGGCTTTGATCTAAACATCCGTTTAGAGGATGATGACGACGGCAACCTTCCCTTGGATCTCAACGAGCATGAAGGTGACGACGGCAACGCTGGATTTGATTTGAACGAGCCTGAAGATGACGAGCATGGCAACGGTACTACCTCTTCTTGTCTTGTGCATGTAAAACACCATTTTTTTTCCTCCTGCTGCATGTTCTTCTCGTCGCTAAACGAGCATGTTCTTCTTTTTTTTATAGGATTCGATTTGAACTTGCCACTAGATGAATTTGGAGCTGTTGATTTTGATTACGTACAAAACCTAGCTGGTGAGTACTATGAATAAGCTTGTTGTTTTCCCTATATTTAGATCATGCCGTGACTACATTTTACTATGAATAAGCTTGTTGTTTTCCCTATATTTAGATCATGCCGTGACTACATTTTACTATGAATAAGCTTGTTCTTTTTCCTATATTTACATGTTAGAACAAGATGTTGAGACTCCCGTTCAAGTACACCCGCCGAAGCATGACTATCCTGAACATGTTAGAAAACAAGTGTAACTGTGCGTAACTGTGCCGTGCGCGGGGAGCGGCGGAAGGCGGCGGGGAGCGGAGTGACGCAGCCATTGGGCGCCTGCGTGCGTAACTGTGCCGTGCGCGGCCGCGTCGCCGGTGAGTGGCTGCGGGCGGTTGCGTGCTGTCCCCCACGAGAGGAGACGAGGGAGGGAGGGAACTGGGCTGAGCCAGGAAAATGGAGGGGAATTTCTCGGTCGAGCTCGTGATTTTTCTTTTTTCCCCTCGTTGGACGGATAACATGGAGTGGAAAGGGAATCTGGCATCATGGAGTGGACCTCGCGACTCCCAAGTACCTGGGTGGGGCCAGGGGTGCCAATCATCGTGCGGTCTATAGCTAGGCAATGAGTTTAAAGGTTTCTAAAAAATTTGGGTTTCTGAAAATAGAAGCCAAAATATAATTTACCAACAAGTAAAAAGCCTAACCTAAATAACCGAAAAATTAGTTTGGTTTATTCCTTTTCTGGTTTAAACCAAAATTGTGAACAAATTGTGATGCTCAACCTCATCCAACAAAACATTACTG